TGTGTGATTTATTAGCTTGTTTACCCGTGGGGACCTCAATTTAGGTCCCCACCGTGACACGAGTCCCCATGAGTCTGTGTGTATTCAGGTTTAAGTCCCCACCAGAATAGAAAAACAGGTACAAACACACACACACACACACACACACACATATACATATATATATATATATATATACATACATGTATATCATCAGGAGGATAGACAAAGCATAGAGTGTATGTGTGTGTTTGAGTAAGTCTGTAGGAAAACACCTGTTCTGGTTGGACGTGATCCTAAATCCCCCTCGTCTGTGTTTGGGGTGAGGCTGTGCAGGCTTGTGATGTTCATTCTCTGCTGGACAAGAGCTTAGAGCAGATGTTGTGATTCATCACGCCCTTTGTCATACTGTTTGAGAACAACATGGTCTGAATATTTGTAAAGCCTGTAACTTCATTATAGGGTAGAACAGCGCCTACCTGAGCTGATAACAGGGAATAGCAGGTCAAAGACATAGGGATTTTCTTCTGTTCTGCAGTTTCATGGCTGTGTTCACAATGGAGTACTTGCATACCTCTTACCACACAGTTTTTGTTCTAATTTGTATACTGTATATTGTTATAATAGAAATAATGGTTTCTCTTAAAAAAAAAAAAGTAGTATATGATGCAGTATATGATGTAGTATACATTCTGATACATTCCATGTCCAGGAAATAGAAAGGCATAGGTGCAGAAAACAGAATAATATGAGAATAACAAAACCGAATGCAACTGGTGCTGAGCATTGGGGAATTGGAGAAAAAGAATGAATATTGGGAGAGAATATTCCGAGAAAGATAACGGAAGAAAAGAAAGAACTAGACAGAAAGACACAATACTCATTATTTTGTCTCTCTGTTCATTTGGGTCTGTCAGTTTGACTGTCATAGTATGCTATGTAATTATAACTGTCGGCTGCAGGACGCAATTAGAGCTGTGTCCCATAGGTCTGAATTACACACACTCAGCACAGATAATAACATGCACTCTCTCTCTCTCACACACACACACACACGCACACACGCACGCACGCACACACACACACACCAATGTAGAGTAATAGAGGTAACAGTGACCAGCCTCTTTTTCAGAATTGCTATTTTCCTGCTCATTTTCTCTATAGAGATTTTTAACAATTCTTAAAAAAAGAGTTCATAACCATGAACCGAATCAGCTCTGAGATGAATCACATTACAACAACTATTCATAATGGAGAAAATGAACCAGAACCTTACTAATGTGCATACACACATATATACATACATATAGTACACTAGTACACTAAACACAAATAAAAACATCAGTGTGCATCTTTGCTGGAATGGTCCGATATTAAACAGGTTAATAAATCTTGAATTATTTACCTGCACAGTATTATATTATAACCTTTTGCATTCAGTGCATTAAAATTCATTTGACCCATTCCAATCTGACAGATCTAGGGTAGATCAGGGTTATAATTGTTAACTAAAACTAAAACAATAAAAGTTTACTTTAATCAAATTAAACCTGAACTAAAATAAAATAATTTTTTAAAAAGTCAACTTATTTTATTTCAGCTCTCATTTTTGTGCATTAATAAAAATGACAAAACAAATAAATGACAAACTTTAAAATTAAAATAAAACAGAAAACACAATTCAAAGTATTAACAAAACCTATAAAAGTATGATTAAAATACTATATGATTAATGATGCAAAAATGTCACATTATTTATCATTTTATTTCACGTAATTATATCTTTTATATAAATAATTATGTCATTTAATGTTTCATATTCTAAATATTTAAGAATATTTAATTTGATATAATTACATATTTTAATGATGCATTTTTTTGCGACATGCAGTTAAAAACACATCACAGGACTGTGTTATCTGTCAACAACAAATTGCAGTAGCATGTTAAAACAGGCATTAGTCACAAGACGGGTGTGTTTTATATGTCTTACATAAGCATTCAATTTACAGGCCCTGCTGGCTCCAGGACACTCGAAAGCAGAGGGAAGATGTACAAATGTTTGGGTGTGATGGTGTATGCATTTCAAATTGATGAAAAATATACATCACACTCAGTCTCTGTCGTGTGCACACCCGTCACATACTTCACTCTGTGATGAGTGATGACTAATACATCCCGTTACCATAGTTACCCCACAACCCCCCCATCATGAGGCGGGAGTTAAGGTACCGTGACGGGATTGAACAAACTCATTGTTGTCATTTAGGAATTATGTTCAGCACAAAGCTATAGATTATCCCTGCTGCTAATATGCAGGCAGCTGTTAACACGGCCATATGGCAGTACATCCCATCAGCCATCAGCAAACACGCAACACTCAAACTGTAATACAAAAAAGAACTGACAATCAAGGAAAACATCAGAAAATTGAGGAAAGAGGGTGGCTACTCTTTCTAATTCAATGTTATTCACTCATTTTTATGTCTTTTTGAATTTCATATGCACTCTCAGAAAAAAAGGTACAAAAGCTGTCACAAAAGGTGCGAATGTGCACCATTTAGGTACTAATGTGTACAACGAAGGAAAACATCAGAAAATAGAGCAAAGATATTTACATGAGGGCGGCTACTTTTTCTAATTTGTTGTTTTTTACTCATTTTTATGTCTTTTTGAATTTCATATGCACTCTGAGAAAAAAGGTACAAAAGCTGTCACTAGGGAGGCATATTTTTTAAAAGGTGTTAATACGCACCATTTAGATACCAATTTGTATTCTTTAGGTATTAATATGTACCTTTAAGGTACTAATATGCATCTTTTAAAATGGTACCACCCCAGTGAAAGATTTGGACCTTTTTTTTCTAAGAGTGTGAAGTTAAAATGTAGGCAAAATCTTTAAAAGAAAAATTATTTACTCACCCTCATGTCATTTCAAACGTGTAAGCTGTGTTTTTTGTCTGTGAAATGCAAAAGGAGCAATTTTTAAAGAATCATTATGCAGTTCTTTGAACAACTGTTTACAGTGTATGACAAAACACACCATAAGTAACAAAATAATAGATAAATATCTTAAAATAAAAGTAGTCCACGTGACTCATATGCTATATTCTATGTCTTCTGGAGTCATATGATTCCTTTA